AGCTGTTGCTGAGCGTGCGTTGTGCCTTGAATGTTCATCCGCTGAGATTTGAAAACATTTCAGCTATTCATGATACTTGCACTAATTGCTGCTCTTGTGTTTGCTGTACTTTCCGAAGATGCTTCAACTCAGACGAAGGTGAGTTTGATAGAGAATCGGATACGCGACTACCGGACCTGGAATGTATATCGCTCTGCGACCCGATTGCTTTTGGAGAGCATTGGTGTTGATACCCTCACACTGCTAATACGTCGCGTATTCCGGGCAACTCGTCCAGGACTATCAATCTCTTGACTGGCGTAATTGTTCGACCAGAAGTGTCCAGGTTCGACCCTCGATGAATCTTGGCATACTTTGAAGTTCTCTCTAGGGTATTGCTGTAGCCGTGACCAAGATGATATAACAGTTTTATTGGCTAACGTTTCGGCCTTATCGCCTTCGTCAGAGCCTGGAAAAAAGTCAAAAATCAAAGTGAAACTACCCTCGGAAATCATTTCAAACCTCAGATAAGCTAGTCCCAGACCAGAAGGATCCAGAAACCTGTCATAGGTCACAACCACAAACGACTCACCTTGAATGTACGGCCGGTTTTTGCTTGAGACCACCGCTAAACTGACTCCCCGTGGGTGGCTTCAGCTGACCTGGCCCCTCGACTCGAAGCCGATGGCAATTGAAGCCCACACAGGTCAGCAAACGGGGCGAGCTCGTTTGTGATGGCCAGGCATTCGTCCTTTCTGTTCATTTTGGGATTTTTAGCGCTATCCAAAACGCTTCCAAAGTTTTGCGCGCCGAAGTCTGTGGTTCTCGCATCAAAATCCTAACCGTCACCTCAAACTCCGCGCCTCCATGGCACTGAACCCGATGACTGCCCAGTGTGGGGTTGGGCAGTAGCGATCATACCCGCGGTTGCGGATCAGCTGCTGCTTGAGGCTCGCAGGAGGGATCTCGACCAGCCGAACCATATTGTCGAGACCACACCTGCGCAAAGACGATCTCACAGCAGCGCTGATCGCATCACTTACGAAGGGTAGGCAAAATGGTACCTTCTCCCAACCCTCGGTCACAGGACTTTGTTGGCTCCTAGTGGGTGGCCCAGGGGGCATTTGTCTTTAGTGGGCCGGTCAATACTACAGGCAGCTCAGAGGTTTGGCCATGGGTCAGCGGCTGGCACCAGTCCTAGCGATTGCCTACATGTCCAAGATAGAACAACCGTTACTGGATCGCCGACCCATCTTGTACAAACGCTACATAGACGACTGTCTCATCGTCTGCACCACGGAGAGGGAAATGGACTCGTGCTTTGACCTCCTTAATAGCCAAGCTGAGAATATTCGGTTTACGAGGGAGAAGCCTTCTAACAGTTGGCTCTCATTCCTCAACGTGCAGATCCAGCTTGAGCGCGGGTTCTATCGGACCAAGTGGTACCGAAAACCCACCAGCAAGAACATCTTAGTCCATTTCCGGTCGGCGCATCCTCTGGGGACCAAACGGGCTATCAACAGGAACATGTTCAGGACAGCCAAAATGGTCTCATTCAGGTGAGAAAGAAAGAGAAGAGTCCCTGGAGTTAGCTCGGAAAATAACCCTCTCTAATGGCTACCCCCAAAAGGCAAATGCCCCCTGGACCACCCACTAGGAGCCAACAAAGTCCTGTGACCGAGGGTTGGGAGAAGGTGCCATTTTGCCTGCCAATGATCGATCAGCGCCGCTGTGAGATCGTCGTTGCGCACGTGGTCTCGGCAATATCTCGACAGTTTACACTAAGGCTTGATGGGAATTACTATCACAAGCATCAAGTCGCAGGTGTAAGACAGAATTTTAGGACGCTTTTCTTGTTGCTAGCAAGTCACCCCAGTCAATTTATGCGGTTGAAAACATGGACCTTATTTTGGAATATGGATTGTACAACATCGGCGACAAAGCAGCATTGAAGGTTGGTGTCTTCATCGCTCGATTGTTACTATTAATATTACAACTAAATGAATGAAGTGAATGAATAATTCAGCATCACGCTGAGCAAGCTAAAGAGATCGAGATCATGTAGTTTTTGTCGAACTAGGTTGGAAAGAAAGTCCCAAAACGCTGACCGAAACTTCAGACTGGCTTTCTAGTTGTTGAGCGATATCGTCAAATAACCGGGCAATCACCATCGCCATCTAGGACATGTTCCCACCTTCTGAGAAGCTTCTCGGTATCACACTTCTAAAACTGCGGCGGCTAATGTCAAAAGAAAAGGTGGAACTAATTGTGGAGTAGGAGCTGATTATCAGAATTTTTGTTTTCAGAAAAATGCAGGCATATGATGTTCTGGAGTTCTAATTCAGCTGAATAAGTATGGCACGCTAACATTCCCTGCTCGAAACCCATAGTCCTTCAGCGTAGACTCACTGCCATAGCGGTGCGTTATCGTGGAGTATGTAGACATTGAGCGTTCTCTAACAAGGGAGGAATGGTAGGTCGAAGTGGCCATTTGAAATGAAATGTATACCGGCTGAAAGGTCTTCGGGGGGGATTACGAAACCGTCTTCCATATCTGCTGCGGACCTCCCAGAAAAAAAGTTACGGAGCTCATCTGTATCTTATCTTAGCTTAGTTACGGAGGGAGAATACTGCCATTCATTACGAATTGGCGGCGTAAGACAGCCGACCGCAGCAGCGTGGCCGAGTGGTTACGTCGTAGGGCTCACGAATGCGTGGTCGAGGGTTTGGATCCTTGATGCGTGTGCTCTTTTGCATTTTTTCGAAAGTCCCTGTGCACTTCAAAACTATTTTGCATAACTCTTGTGCTTGATAATGTCGTGACGTGATGTTTCTGAACTGATGGAGCCATTGCGAACGATCTTCATGGAGAACAATCATCTTTGGCTGAAGAGATTGTCATACGAGCCGAAAACTTCCAGTAGGTGCAAAACACCACTTTGGGATAGATCCTTCAACACTATGTGAGCGATGAATGAAGGTTTTGCCCATCACGATCTCCGGCATGATTGTCACATCAACGCCACTCATTTGAGAGCATTTTCCAACTATACTCATCTTGCGCACAACTTCGTGCGGTTTCGGATTCGGTTTCCAGTCATGTCGTTTGGAGAATAGAGTCATTTTCACAAACTCATTCGTTGGAATGCACTCTGTTGTGGAAATGTGCCTTTCAAATCAAAGAAGAAATCAGAGGCCAAATATACGTTTTCCATGGAAATCGTCCACCGTGGCTCTGTCAGTTCAGAAACATTACGTCACGACATTATCATGGACAAGAGTTATGCAAAATAGCTTTGAAGTGCACAGGGACCACTTTCGAAAAAATGCAAAAGAGCACACGCATCAAGGATCTGAAACCCTCGCCCACGCATTCGGGAGCCTTCGGCCACGTGCCACGACCACATGAGCCTTACACCAGCAATTCGAACTGAATGCCAGTATTCTCCCCTTAATAAGCTCCGTACTTTATTCTGGGAAGTCAGCAGCAGATATGGATATCGGTTTCGTAATCCCCGTCTAAAGACCTTTCAGATGATATGCGCTTCATCTTAAAGTGCTTTTTCGACCTACCATCCTTCCCTTGTAGGAACCTTGCGCACGACGTTGGTCATCATTGAAAACTGTTGGAACAGACTGTGGTCGTCATTGCTGCGCTAGTGTCCTGCAGTATCCCTTTGGAGTTTCAGCAAAACAGTGAGACCGTTCCTGCAAGCAGAACTGTTTTAGACTCTGCTACCGGCTTTTCTGCTAGAGGGTTTCGTGGAGGTTATGTGCATGAAATACGCAAGAGATTTATAGGCTTCTGGATCCGCTTTTATAATTTCTTCATTATCCTTCAGAATGCGCTCTATATTGTTACAATAACGCGTTAAAAGCGCTTTTTGGGATTTCAAGGATATAGGTCCACTCATTGTAAAAGGGTTGATAAGTCAAAATGTCAAAAAAAGGGAAAAAGAATGAAAAGTCTGAAGGCGCCTTTGCAAAAATCAACTGCGCTCTCGCCAACGGATACAAAAAGCAAGAATATAAGAAAATACCTGTATACAAGGATTTCGTTCTTCTCAATCCAATCCGAGTTCGCAGAAAGTCATAAAAAGGTTCGGTGGTTTGCCAATTTTGTTTCACGATAGGAGGTCCACCAAACCAACAGGCACACAACATTTATTCACCACACCTCAAAATTGGGTAACTAAACTGGTGCAAAAATAATCGAAAGGCACACACGATAAGGCGTTCTTATTAATCGCACAGTAATCCCAGCAACTATAGTCAAATAAGAGACAATCTTCCTAATTAGAGATACAAAGAAAAAAGCAAGGCACATGAGCGCATCATCAATCCTAGAAGAAACTTGAGCAAATACCAACGTATTTATTCATTTATTCTGCGTCGGCGTTTGACTTCGCTAGATGCGCACCAGATAAGCGTTGGAAGCTAAAGTAAAGCCTTTATCAGATCAAGAAAAAGTCACAACATCATTCCTCTCTTACATGACAGTAAAATCGATCAAAGAGATCGCGGTACATCCGCGATACCATGTCAACTCCCAGTGGCTGCTAGCTACTAGCTAGTAGCCCCTCTACTATAAGGTTGGAAAGAAAGTCCTATGACACTACCAAATTTCTGGGCCAAGTTTCCATTCACTAAAAGAGAACTCCAGCCTACAAGATAATCACTATTCATGGGTAGGAGTAGTGCCCGTGTTTGTAGAGCTTCTCGCTAGACGTCGATTTTCGGAATTTTTGCTTTCTGAAGGATGCTGTAGGGATCAAATTCCTAGAGAGCAAAGTTAGCCGTCTCTAGGTACCACCCAGAGACTCTAGAAAGTTAAAGTCTCTTGGTGGTACCTAGAGACTGCTAACTTTGGTAAATAACCTGGGTACGGTCGCATTCTCTGATCGAGATCCATGATCTTTTGGCGTAGCCTGATCCCCACATGCGGTCTTCGCATTGCCGAGTAGTAGAAAGAAAATTGAGTGCTTTCTGAATGAATTCAAGTGTGACTTCATCCACGTTTTGATGCTGGTTAGTGTCGACTGTAGCCGCCATCACTGTGCCGGTATCATCGACCTCGCTTCGAAGTCCCACCAATAACACAGTGAAATCTTTATTCCATGCACATCTGCTTTTGGCTAAGCAATCTACTTTTCTCCTTGAGAGATCCTGTGAGGGATGTGTGCATAGTTTACGCAAGGACTCCAACACTCGCTACCAACCACAAGATCTCACAAAAGTTCTTCCAGTGTGTACAAGGAAAAGAAAACTCAGTCACGACCATTCAGGTGCGCTTTGTCAGACAGGTCCAACTCATGAGGCATCCTTCACAGGAAGCTTTCCCGGTAACAGGGGTTGCGGAGAAGCTGATAGTTGTCGCTTAGGTGCAGCCTAGAGAGGTTGCCAACTTACTGGTGGTTACGTTCGGCTGCGCCTCAAGAAGCTTGAGTAAACGGGCCGTCATTCTGTGCTGGTGGCCGACCTATACATTGCCTACCTTCAAAGTAAATAACCCCAGTTTGCAAGGCTGATACAAACGGACTCTGCCATAGCAAGCAACATCACTCCTGAATACAATGCAGGTGTTAGCTCCCTCGACTACGGCGGAGTGGCCCTACAGGAACTCAATATGGGATAGGTCGAAAAGTACTTTGACTATGGGGGGACTTTTAAGCATTGAAAGCTTCCACAAAGCCATAATGTATCTGCAAAAACTTCATAGAACGCTCTCCGCTAATCAGGGATGAAATCATTCAAAAGGTTTTTGATCGTTCACTAGAACAATTCGGTCAAGCTGTCGCAGGACTTTCTTCCCAACCTAATAGCTATCTTCATTCCGAATGGTGAGAGTGAGGGGATAAAAGAAATGGGCTGTTATCTTTATGACAATAATAACGACTGGGAAATCGTGTAAACACGCCTCTTCATTGTATGCAGGTACGAGTTTTGATCGGCATAGAGTCCGATATAGGGCATTCCAGACGGTTTTCTGATTTTTTTTTCCTTCAGTCAGTTACCTAGCACTTTGTCGTTCGTATTCGATTCGACCTCGATTACCCACCAACTGTGCCTTCAAGCACTGAATGCTCATATGAAGCCAATGTGTGCGCATGCTGAGACCTTCGAAAACACTGTAGCGACCTGAGCCCAACACGTTCAGGAATGGGTGGTTTTTGTGGGACATTTACCTAGAAGTGTTGCAGGGTTTTCTTTCCAACCTGCTGACAACCTACGTTGGAAATATTCACGGATTGACTGTTCGACTTCCATTATCTATGGGGAAACATTTCTTGTTATGTTTGCATTAATCTAAATTCTGATAGGTTCATCTTGACGATCGTCACTCCTTTCCTACGCAGTCGTTCGAGGTGATCAAAGGTCTTCTCAATGTGCGATTTGAGAGAATCAATGCAGGAGCGAATGCAAGTCACTCCGTCATCGTAAGTCTATTGCCTTTATCTTCCTCGACCATATTAGGGGAAGTTAATGGGTAGAAGCGTTCTTCCGACAAAGATGTACTAGTGTGCCTTGGTATTAAACACTGATCTCATGCCGTCCTTCCATGTGACAAAGCAGCTCCTTGAATGGTGTTTGGAATCTTTCGGCATGGCTTGAGGTAAGCTATGTCTCGAACCAGCTGATGCCGGCGCTCTTCCTTCACTACGGCGATTACTGTGAGCGATAGGTCATCAGCTGAGAAGTGCGAGAACTGAGTACCTCAAAGCTAATGTCATCGGTTTCATTATACAACTTAGTACTGTTTTTATGGTTCACTATATTGATTGTTAAGTCCAAACAACTTGCTGGAAGCCTCAGTTACATGAGTTATTTTCCAGTTGATGGGTTGGAGATTGTCTTTCTACGTCGCTGCTTGCTTGGCTGTGTTAACAAGCAAATCGTCCATATGAAATGGACAGCTTAGTGTTATCGCTCGGCTTCGCCGAACGATCCTGCTTCTGCATGTGAACTGGGTATTCTCCCCATAATTTCACAAATGAGGGCCAGTCTGATCGCCCGGCTTCGCCGAACGATCTTCCCTGTGAAGTGGGTATTCTCCCCAGGCTTTTT